AAGGCTGCTAGTGGCACTGTGAGTGTTGGGGAGAGAGGGGGGGGGGACGCCTTATCAGTGGTCTGTGGGTGGTAGAGTACAGGGAGTGGGAAGAGAGGCACAGGGAGGGGGTTAGGGAATGGTGAGAGGGACACCTTAAGAAATTAATATTCCTCATTATCGTTACCATGTTCGAGTGAACTTAAAAAAACAAAAAGGTATTAATTTGTTCTGTTAAAATTAATGGCAGGGAGACGTGATGACCCACCCACAATTAATATAATTTACTTGGCTGTTCATTGTAATGTATCCTTGACCCTAACCAGAAGGCCATCCAGGAAATATTACCCTTGATTTCACTTCAATTGCGCCTTGAAGCCTTGCGTATATGTTTTCCGTTCTTAATAAATGTATTTCAGTTTCCATCTGGCCCCAGACTGGGTAGTCTAGTTGCTGTAGACTTTTCAATTTGGTCCTCCAGGTATTCAGTTAAGCTTAATCTTATAATTCATAGCCTCAATAGGTCTCTCGTTCACTGCTTCATTAGTATTATACACTAAACATTTTCTCTACATTACTGTAAGTCTCCAAATTTCCGAATTTTGTCTATCCATCTTGACTAATGAGGGCGTGTATCTTGGTGTTTCCTTTTTTTGTATAGAGGGCGAGAGATCTATGAGAACCTCAGCAGTAACACTGTTCCATGTAAGAAGTAGTTCTGGTCTGACTACACAGGCATCAATACGGTACTCTTTACACCCCTTGAGTACAATGTTGTCCTGCTCAAGGGTATGGGGGCATCGTTTCAAAGGGTTCAAATACCGTATTCAAGAAATCGATTCATTGTACTCATGAGATTAAGTCATCGTAGCGCAAGGGCTTAAGATAACTTACTGGATTAATACGTTGTGTTTATGAAGTTGCCGACACTCCCATTGGATTATGAATGCGTTAGGTTGGAGATAGTGTATTTTGGTTAACTAGCCCCGCACCACTGTTGTGAGATTTGGTTTTAAACTCACGCTATTTGTGAGATATGGTTAAAAGCTAACAGCATTTGGGAGATTTACTAGTAAGCTCACTCTGCTAAGGAGATTTAGCTAAGAGGTCACACCGTTAGTGAAATATTCCATTGTGCTCAGAACATTAACTCCATGTTCACACCGTTAGTGAGATTTGGCTCTAAGTTGACATTATTAGTGAGATTAGATATATAAGTTCACATTATTAGAGCTGGCTTTAAGCTGATTAAATTGGTAAGATTTGGCTCTAAGCTAACACTTCAAAGCATATGTTCAAATTTTACATGACGAGAGATATTGTGTTTTGATATTATACTACAAAAAACAAAAAATCAGTGGAAGTTGACAACATCTACGGCGTGAAGTTGTGTGTTTTATGACAATATTGCCCTCCAAGTTTGTAAGAGCACCCCACCTGCTGAGTTTATCTCATAAGAGCACACCACCAGCTGAGTTTATCTCGTAAGATTACATCACCTGCTGAGTTTATCTCATAAGATCACATCACCTGCTGAGTTTATTTCGTAAGATCACACCACCTGCTGAGTTTATTTCGTAAGATCACACCACCTGCTGAGTTTATCTCGTAAGATCACACCACCTGCTGAGTTTATCTCGTAAGATTACATCACCTGCTGAGTTTATTTCGTAAGATCACACCACCTGCTGAGTTTATTTTGTAAGATGACACCACCTGCTGAGTTTATTTCGTAAGATTACACCACCTGCTGAGTTTATTTCGTAAGATTACACCACCTGCTGAGTTTATTTCGTAAGATCACACCACCTGCTGAGTTTATTTCGTAAGATCACACCACCTGCTCAATTTATGTCGTAAGGTCACCTCACATTTCAAGTGCGTTTAAGATCACATCTCATAGAAGCTTGTCTTAAGATAACATCCTGAAAGAAGTTGTCATAATGTAATCTCATATAGGAAGATCAAGTTGCAAGATATCTGAAAGTTGATGATGCGAGATATTAAGATAGTGGAAGTCTCGAGAAAGAAAACCTATTGACCACCACCGACTGTGTAACTGACGTGTGGGAATAAGGTGACTGGTTGACTGGAGCCCATCCTTAATGAATCCAGTCTAACCAAACGTTGCCTAGTCTTTCTTCAATCTTAAAGAGCCTCTGTTCCGTTGGGTCACAGTCTTAGTGGGTCTCAGTACTAATGGGTCCCAATGCTAATGGTTTTTGATGCTAATGGTTTCCAGTTCTAATGGGTCGCAGTTCACAATGGACCCCTGTGATAATGGTTAAGTTAAGCGAGGTTGGGACCTATTAATAATGGGAACCTATTTGATTTGTGGCTCAGGGAATGAATTTGTCACTCGGCTTCATATACTGTAAAGCCAGACTCTTGGAAGGACGAAATAAAATACGAGTGTACAAATAAATTTATTTTACACAATAGACACATCACCTTACAAAAAGGCTGGATTAAGAAGATAAAAAGTATGTAGTGAAGTGGCTACAATACGCCATTTAAAAATTCAACTACTTTTTTGGGGGAAACTAGTTGAAAGTAGATCTGCTAAACAAACTACTCTTAAGAGATTGTTTTGTAAATAAATCATATCATATATATTTTTTCCAGAGACTAATCGAGCAGGAAATAATTGGTCTTATTCATCTCGACAACTCCAAAAGATATTATGAATGGAGATTGTTTGTAGAGTTTTTCAAGGACTGAAGCTATCAACGCTATTTCAACTTTATAACAAAGCTAATAAAATTAAGAAATTAAAGCAAAAACTACTAATTCTTTGGCACATCATCCATAACGTCACTTTTAGTCACTGTATAAATAATAATAATAATAATAATAATAATAATAATAATAATAATAATAATAATAATAATAATAATAATAGTAATAATAATTGATAAAATGCCGTACGTGGGTTTTCACTTAATATCGAACACACGATACACCCGCGAACAGCCTTATCTGTCCAAAAGAATAAGGTTAAGTTGTTGCCGTTTATGGAAGGTGACTGGCATCATGCCTAGTACCGTCTGAAGACAAATTTCTCTGCAAGTGTCAAAAAGTCTGTAGATTCCTCGAGTTAATCCTTCACGCAGGGCGGATCGCAGACTCGGGTGTGGCGGCACGCGAGGTGTACAGGTATAAAGACAGGTGACCTCTCATGGGATGTGATAATAATAGTAGTTATGTGTAATGATTACAGTAACTGATTCTAATTAGTAATAAAAATATTGATAAAAATAATGGTAAATATTAATTACAATATTGATAATAATAACTGTATTTATTCATTATAATGTTAATAATAATAATAATAATAATAATAATAATAATAATAATAATAATAACAATAATAATAATAATAATAATAATAATAATAATAATAATAATAATAATAATTTTACATTATTATTATCATTAGTAGCAGTGAGATTGTATGATCAGAACTGATACTAAAATGCATTAAACGAGAACACTATATTTGAACAGATAAAATAGCCCGATAATATCCATATCAAGAATTAGAGGATTTAAATAGGAATATAAATTCGATTAATAGATTAAACTGAGAATTAAGTCAGCTCAAAATAGAACCAGTGTATTTTTTCGGGAATATTTTGTTACACCCAATCACAGTTTGATCTAGTTCATGTCCACATTTGTCTCACTGCTAACAGTATCATGCACTAACTGCCAAATACCGTATTATAAAAACTCTTTATTTAATATAATTTATTGGGCAAATTAGTATTTTTTTTGTTATGAATAATGAACTTTATTATTGTTAGTGTCATTATCATTACTAATACAATTTTTATTATTATTATTATTATTATTATTATTATTATCATTATTATTATTATTATTATTATTATTATTATTATTATTATTATTATTATTATTTTTATTATTATTATTATTATTATTATTATTATTATTATTATTATTATTGTGATTGTTTAATAATATTTTTTTCTGTTAATATTTAAATGTTTAGTTTTATAGTTCTCAAGTTTACTGTTATATGCCAATTTTACCTTTTTCTTAAATGCTTAATTTCATACACCGACTGGCATGCATATTAAGTACGATAAAATTACGTGAAAAAAATATTTACTGTAATCATACGTTTTTAGGATTCATTCGTTAATATTGAAATGGTTTGGAGGGGTTTAAAAAAATAATTAGATAAAATTTAATTAAAAAAAATACAAATCTTGGGTCAAATGAGCAACTAAAATTATGAAATGGAAAAGACCAATTATTTCCGAGTCGATAAAAATGAAGTAAAATTTTCTTATTATACCCTTGCTCTTGTTGGTCTGTTCATAGTGACTCGGTAACACCCTTCTACCTTCTCTTCTCATCATTGTATAATACGGAAGACAAATCAACATGAAACACAGTAAAAAAATAAATAAATAAGCCATGTGGACTATAATTCATTCAAGATTGTAAAGTAAACAGTACAAGAATTGGCTGGGTAGGAAATAATTGGTTTTGGAATCATCTTTTTAATGGAATATTTAGAGACGAGATGAAACTTAAGTATGATAGTGAACAGAAGAGTAAAGTACATTTCTAAATTACAGAGAGAGAACGAGACAGGGAGAAAGAGAGATCGCTAGACAGGTAGGGAGACAGAAAATGGGGGAGATAGGTAGATAGAACGAGAGATAAAATGAGATAAAGATAAAGAGATAGACGGAGCATGAAATGAAAATATAAAGGAGGGGGGAAGAGAGATACTGACACATATAAATAGAAAGACAGACAGAAAGATAGACAGTGATAGCGAACGATAAAAGACAGACAGACAGACAGACAGAGAAGGAGGGGGGTTTAAAGGAAGAAAAGGACGACCATCAAGATACCTTTGCCAGAAAATCATACAATTTTATACACACAAACACGTAACACTGAACTCCTCTTGACCATAATATTAACAACAGGTAGATTTCTCTCGAGAAGAAAATTGACTTGAGTTTATTTATATTTTTCGGGGGGGGGGGGATGCATTTGCACCTAAATACAAACATATATTACAATGAAAATAATGTCTAGTTAATCCTTCATTATAATTATAGCAACAGGTTTAATCTTCAAAAATTCGTGTACAAAAATATGGTGATGCAATGCTATTGTCTTCTGACCTAAATTTATTATGTATATTATCAAAATGAACTGAGTATTTACAAGGGGTAAATCTCTATCACTAAGTCATCATCCATGGTTCTTTTTCATGTCTCCTTGAAGACTTGTGGACAAAGTATATTCCCTAGGGGGAAAAATATACAATAAATTATTGATACTTTGGCATTGTCTTCATAATTACAAGTATGTTATTTCCTAAAAGGAAATTATTGATTTAATACTCAGTATTGAAGAATTTTGCTAGTTTCACAAAGCAGTTTTTACACATCACTTTGTATTTTGTCAGTCACTTGAAAACTCAAGAAAAGACAAGAGGTGAGGCAGTGCTCATTGATCCATTTTAAGTCTTTGTGACTAGCAAGTATTATACAGTGATAATGATGAGCTTACTTTTCTGAGATATTCCCAGGATGATACGCGCTGCCAATTTACGAAGTTCATGTCACTCCCTTCCCTTGGTACGATGTCTTGGGATTACATAACACTCTCTGAGCTCCCAAGCATCAGTGGCTGCAGGACGCAAGTTGAAGATCCTATATCCAGCTCCTCGTACAAAGGCGTTCTGGAATACGGTAGTCTTCTGCTGGACCTGGCGGCTGCTTCTACCCCAAGGGTGATGCCCAAGCTGGTGTCTATAGTAGATGTTGTGAGCTGAGTCCTCTCAGTGACCTCTGGAGAAGACGGAGGGTCATCATCGTACGGGTGGCAGACGGGGGTCTGATGGGAGGGGAGAGGACATGTTGCCAGATGAAAGGTCCCGCGTACCGCTCACCTGAGACAATCTACGGCACCTTCCGCCACACTCGGACTCGTAACTGACTGTATGTCATGTAAACTTTTGAAAGAACTCTCATACAACCTGATCAGTATGTTGTCTTTTATAACGTTATCATCTGATTAGTGCTGGTATACTGCCGACTTTTAGTACAAGTTATGAAGATGAACACATCCCTAATTTATAAGATTAACTCATAAGACGAAGGCATCAACAATTATGCTGGTAACACCTTATCGTGGACACTTACTCTGTTGAATAATAATATTTATCAGAAAATATTTTGAATATTAAGATGACTTGATGTACAGTATTGGGTTATAGACGCAAGGACACGTGGCCTCAAAACCATCACAGTGTTCTGGTTTAGATCAATGTAATGTTAATCTAATTTCATAACAATAACAGAATTCGTATATTGTTCTTGACAGATGAAAAACTTACAACGAGTTTCATATACCAAAGGAAGGTCCTATAGCAACAGTTTAACACCAAATAATGAATGAATCTGAATAAATAAACACAAGGATTCACCTAACACACGTCTCCTCGCAGCTGGGTGTGTTACCTGCTGTCCTGACCACCTGATTATCGAGTGTTTCTCCACCTACTCCATGTCGATTTCCCCCTTGTTAGGCCTAGAGGAATTTAAGTGTTGATATATTGCATGACTTGAACTGTTCTTTCTCCTTGTGTTATTATCTGTAGTTATTCTTCTATCTCTCTTTTATTGTCCCCTTTTCTCCTTTTTATTCTTCCTCTGTATTCTTTCATGTATCCTAGCGTTACTGTATGTATTATGTTATCCGTTTATTTTATGTATTTTCCTGCTATCTTCTTTTTTTATGTAATCTCTGGTATTCATTTACATTGTCTATCTAATCTTTTATGTATCAGTTGTAGTTGCATAGGCTTGTATGTATCTTCTATATTCATTAACCCTTCTTCGTATCTGTATTCATTTAATACATTGTATCATCTGTGTTCATTTACGTCTCTTAATGTATTCTCTATGTAAGTTTTGTTTATGTATCCTATGTATTATTTTACTCGCCGTGTCATTCATATCCTTATACTCTGGTATGTATCCTCATTCATTTATTCGTGTGTAGTTTTTGTAATAAGTTCGTCTCTTATGTATCGCCTGTTATTCATTTACTCGTATGTATCCCGTTATGTATTCTCTAGCCTATGTATCATGTTATCTCATTACTCTTATGTATCTTTAGTACTTTTTTTTATCATTTCATGTGTCCTCTGCGTCCATGTGGTACTGTATGTGTCTTCTGTTATTGATACCTCAGTATTTATGTATCATATCAGCGGTGTCTAGAGCTGAGCAATTTGCGGCAACATAACTCGTATAAGCGGCAGTGAACTGAGTCCAAGTGTGGCAGAGATAACAGCGATGAAGGCAGAGATAGAAATTGTAAAGAGAAAGCGGAACAAGAAAGCGCTGGCTGTAATGGTAGAGGAGGGAGGGAGGGAGGGAGGGTAAAACAGCTACAGAAAGTGAATAGTCTTAGCGATGATTTCTGGCAATGGTCATGGTATTCATAGTAGTAATAAGTAAGTAGTAGAATGTACCAGCGATAGTTATTGGTAGTGTTGATAGTCATAGTAGTAGTAGTAGTAGTAGTAGATGGTCGTGATAGAAGTAATAGTAATTGAACAGATTCTTGCGTTAGATTTAGTAGGCCAAGCAATTAGTGAGTAAATAGAGACAAGATGCTATGAAAAGATGTGATAATGGTGGAGATGGTGGTGAGGCGTGACCTAGTGATGAAGAAGTGGTGCTGGTACACATGACAATAAAGTGACCAACTAAATAGGATCATCATCATTTAAAGTGTCAGTAAGATCAAGTGGACCCACGACCTGATTAAAGAATAGCAAATGATATATACAAGAGAGTGGATGATGGATGAAGGTTGCTAAGTTTAAGCAGTGATTCTGGCAACGTAGAGGCAGTGAGCACCGTAAACATAAGAGTGAAGCTAACAGTGACAAGAAGCTATACAGTATGCAGGTGGACAGTGTTTAGCTTCCTCTATGTGGGTGAGGCGAACGTTGGTGTATGAGGTGGTTGGGGAAGGGAATTGGGGGGCGGTGAGTCTGATGGGGTAAGGGGAAGGATGAGGGTAAATACAAATATAAAAATAGTATATATTAATTCTCATAGGAAAACGCATTTTAAAATGTATTTTCATATCAGCAGCTGAGTGTTCATCAGATGGTGAAAATTTGACACTGTTATAGGGAGTGAGAAGCAACATTATGCACATTCTTACACTGAAGGCTGGTAACAAGCTCCATGCGGTTGCTTAAGCTATGGCTGCGTTAGTTGTGATTTTTTTTAATGTAAGGAAAATAAGCTAATTTGTGTAACTTGAAATAATGCATAATATTTCGTTCTACCCTTGTTCTTGTAACTAACATAGCTCAAAGTTTTATGCATTAGTCTCTCCTAATGTATTTTTTTTCTTTTGCTAAACTAAACATATCAATGACTGAATATGTTCAACTAATTTGCTTAACTAACGAAGTATGTCCCATGATTCATGTAAAATGTCTAATTTAAGTGAACTGAAAACATGATTGATTGAATCTATATACGAGTTATATTTTGACTGAACATAAACTCACCAATACATCATCAAAGCAACTTTTTTGTGGCTGGTTCTGAGAGAATGGAGTTGAAAACGTAAGAGTTTTTAATGGAAAGAATTTAAGTAGGGAAAATATTCTTCTCAGTACAATTAAAAATACGATGATACTCAAAGAAAATTATTTAAACATTTAAGATGCGAGATAATTGTTACCCAACAACATTTATTTTATATTAGTGGGGGAAAATGTGCGAAATTTTACACTTGTTTCCGAATCTGGGCCCTGAAATTAACCTAACCGTATCTGACCTAACTTAATCTTACCTTAACTAAATCGAAATAGAGATTACCTAATCAAGGCGTAACCTAACCTAGCCTACCCATAATTTAACACAATCTAAACCTAACTTACTATTACCTAAGGAGAACGTACCCTAACCTAATATTGACTTAAATCTAACCTAACCTACCCTAATATAGTTCCACTTAACCTGCTGTGTCAGTCTTAATTGTCGGGTCTGGTTCCAGGTCCAAGTCCGGATTTAGGTTTGGCCCGACAGTAATTATCATCAGCTCGAGGCAGCAATAAGCTTAAAATAAATTAAAATTAAACAACATACAAATAAAGAGGAATAGAGACACTCACCTGTAAACTCTTTTCAATTGGTCTGTGTAAAGGTTCGGAGGCTCCAAAGACCGTTTTCTGGGAGGGTAGACCTGGCCGAAGACCCATGCCCATCCCCAGCTCCTCTGCGCCTACGTCAGGAGGAGGAGGAGAAGGTTCCCCGTCATATGTTTGGTGTGGCTGTTTGATTACGCTGATGGTAATGGTGTGGGCTGATGTTGGTGGTTGAGGGGCGGCCTCTGTTGGTGAAATATGCAATTTTTTGGGGGGTGGTGATCACGTAGAGTGGAGGGTGGGTGGGGGTGCGAGTGGGTGGAGAGTGGAGGGTGGGTGGGGGTGTAGAGTGGAGGGTGAGGGGTGGGGGTGGAGTGGGTGGAGGTGTTGAGTGGAGGTGTGAGTGGGTGGAGGTGGAGTGGAGGGTGGGTGGGGTGTTGAGTGGGTGGAGGTGGAGGAGGGTGGGTGGTGTGGTGGAGAGGGGTGTAGAGGAGGTGGGTGAGGGGTGTAGAGGGAGGGTGGGTGAGGGGTGGAGTGGAGTAGAGGGTGGGTGAGGTGTGTGGGTGAGGGGTGTGGAGGAGGGTGGTGTAGAGGAGGGTGGGTGAGGGTGTAGAGTGGAGTAGAGGGTGGGTGAGGGTGTAGTGGAGGTTGGTGGAGGGTGGGTGAGTGGGTGGGTTGAGGGTGTAGAGGGTGGGTGAGGGTGTGAGTGTAGAGGGTGGGTGAGGTGTGTGAGGGTGTTGAGGGTGGAGTGGAGGGTGGGTGAGAGGTGAGTGTGAGGGTGTAGAGTAGAAGGTGGAGTGAGGGTGTAGAGTGCAGGTCAGAGGTATAATATATTGCTATGTAATTAATTTAGCTGCTGGCCATGTTACCTCCTATTTTTTAAAACTTGTGTGTTGGGTGTTTGTTACAAAGACTTAGAGATCCGTGCCTAATGACCCGAGCGGCATAACACACAAAGCTGGACTCCAGTAACAAACATTATACGGACGACTGATGCTGGCTGGTATAGTTGGCATCTTTGCTGTATATCATGTTTATTGTATATTTATATGATTTTCAATAAATTTAAAGTATTGCTGATAATAGCAGTGATTATCTTAAGTAATTTGAAGTATAAGGAACATTACAATTTACTTTTATTTTTGTCTCTATGAGAGTATTAGTTGAAAGTATCTACAGTTGATGGCTTTGGTTTGATATGACAATGAAAAAGAAACGAACCTTCGTCTAAAATAGCACAAAAAATCCTATGATATAAAATAAACGTAGAGTAAGTCCTTGCATATTTTTTGTGCTAAATATAGAAAACTAAGGTTATAGTTTACATAATCTCTTATAGAGTTAATGGCAACACAAACAAAATATTGGCATGAATATTTAAAAGGTGCAGAGAGGAGCCATTGTCCTTTATAGCTATTTCTATAACGTTTGTTTTAGATCGAACTTGTACATAACTTAAATTCAAGTCAGGTGAAGTAAAGAGCTGAGTCACATCTTCCTAAATCATAAGGAAGTCATTTTAAGTGTCGATTGCTAAGGAAACAACAATGGAGCAGAATAATAACTAGAAAGTATTGTGTGTGGCGGTATGCATCAAATTTACAGTAGTGAAGGTTCACAGTATTAAACTACTGTTGATAAAGAGCACCAGAAACCTTTATACTGTAACGCCCACCACATATTGATCCTCTCTTAACACGTACAAGTTTACAGTTTAGTGCTGTAAGCGACTAAGACCTTCGTATATGAAGCTACCTAATACTAAGAACAATAACAACACTTACAAGGTCTTGATATATTTACCTTGTTTTGGGGGTCTCCAGCAGGTGTCACTGTATCAATTTACAGACTCGTCGATCAAAACATATCGAAAGTAGTTGTGCCTTTCTGGTCAAGAGTCCATATATCGTGAGATCAATACCATGGCATTTATCACCTTATATTTTGCTACTGGCGCTCTAATGCTTCCTCCGCTGCTCTTAATAACAAGGTCAATGTGAACACGTTTGCTCAATTACAACTTTACGACTATGAAGCGCAAGAATATGACACTACGGAATAGTTAATGAGACATAATTTCCAGTGAACCACAAGCTGGCAATTTAACAAGTTTTGAAGCTACGTTACTGACATAACCTTAAGACCTCTGGCCAGTCACTTCATCAACAGGAGTCAGATGAATACAAGATCCTCTGTATATACACACGATAATAAGTTAAGAGTTTATATTTGGCAACTTACCTAGGATATCTGGGTTAGATTCCTTCATGGGTATGTGGACATTTTCTCTGTGGGCGTGAGAGTGTCTTCTCCGGCCTCGCACTGCCCACACGCCCACCAGCAGCATCACCACCACCAGCAAGGCACCACCGATCACCGCCAACACCAACATCAGCGGCGAGGGTTCAGAGCGTGACGGTAAACCTGATCCAACGTTGACAACAGTATAAATCTTAATTATTTTGTGAATTAAGTAGAAAATGTATAGATTTTTCGGTGGGATATATATGCACCTATTTTATGTTTAGTTAATAATGTAAGAATTGTTAACTGCTCATAGTGTCAATGGTGGATTGTTTGGATGAGTAATTGAAACGTAATTTGATACCTTGGCAAAATTTATGAAACGTCTTGACAAAAATGATCACTCATCACGATTTATGTCTGCGCTCTCTCTCTCTCTCTCTCTCTCTCTCTCTCTCTCTCTCTCTCTCTCTCTCCACTCAGTGATGTGACGACGTTATAGAAAGATTGAAACAGTATCCAAAGAATAAAAGGTTCAGTGTTTGTAAGAAAGTCCTTCTGTGGAAATACCTCATCATTGATTGAACAATCCTTTAATGGTGTCCGCCTGTGCTCAAACTCAGTACGCTGATGGAAATTGACTTGCAAAATATTTCTCGACTTTGCATGATGTTTAATTTAGTAACAATTGGTAAAAAATGAAAAGAAAATCACTTTAGGTAAAAATATGTTTGACTACCAAAGGCTGAAATTAAAAGTTGATCTTCAAGGCGATTGAGTTTTTTTAATTAAGAAATTAATTTTATGTTGACAAAAGGCTTTAAAAATTGACAAAAACGCTACAGAATTTCCGTTGTGATAGGTAGAAAGCATCTGATGGCCGTAGGATATTAATTAAAATTATTCGTCATGAAAAATAAGGAAATTCTGAAAATCATGTAATTTTGAATATGTTTACCCTTGCATGTATTTTGCTTACATTTTTATTGTATTTTAATTTTCACATGAATGAGTGTTCCTTTTTTTTGGTAAAGCAATATTTTTAGTAATTCGTAAAGTTTGGAACTTTAAGATATGAACGAGTCTATATTGTTAGAAGGTTGAGAGAGAGAGGCAAAAATGTTCAACTAATAAACAAACGTTCTGGTGAGGGATTACACCATGACTGTTGCTGGCAAGAAGGACTTTCAGAACAAGGAAAATCGATGTCAATCCACCTCCTCCTCCTCACCACGTTGTCCTTCATGGCAGTAATTTGTCATGGCTTCGACATTTTTCTTAATCGTTAGCATCTTAGGCAAATAATATGTATTTTACACCATCCAGACAATACCGAAGAGTAAAGAAGGTTTTAAACTTTGAAGGAAATATTGAATAACTCAACGTGACCTTTAGTAAATTAAATACTCTTAACCATTTGACGACAATGGTTTAAGCTGTAACTTAAGCCATCGTCAAGGGGCCAATTGACTATAATACTAAATAATACCAATCTACTATTGTATGCGTGTGTATGCTTATTTCATCTGCAAGACATCTGTATGACTGATAGCTATTTTTTCTCTTCAGAAGTTATGTATTGAAGGCACTCACGTATTACAACACACTGATCATTTTGTAATATTGTGTCACGTTTTACTGTCGAAACTTAATTGGAGGTACAGTCCCCTTCAATAGAGCGTTTACAGGGGCTCGTCAGGTTTTGTGCAGTGTGGCAACCCTGTGTTTGTTTACATTCGACAGAAGGAAACTCATAATAGTAAACATACTATGGAATCAAATTAAAACAATATTAAAACAAATATCTCAATGATAAAGATTTGTGGAATGTTTATATGACGAGCCCTGTAAACGTACTAGTGAAGGGGCCTGCACATAGGGTCGTCCATATTAATCATTAACCTTTCGTCTGTACCTCGGTGAAATGGTCTTTAAAATAGTCATTGGAAATATCACGAAACATGACGAGATGCATAAACAAATTTCATCTTTCGATTTTAGCCTCAATATGTGAACTAATTTATCACTGTTTTTATCCAACAAGTCTCGCCTATACTCAAATGGCCATAATGTTATCAGAATGTACAATTAGGCGCTAAGTTTTTTTAATATGTTGTATTTTTCATCACATCTTCACTCCTTTGGGAAATTCTGGTAGAAATTTTCCAGAAGTAATTAATATTTACTGGTATGTAATTTACTAGTAACAGGAGAAATATCATGTAAGCTAAACCAAGTATTTAATTCTACGAGAGTTAACTGTGTATCAAAACAAAAGTATTTGTTGGGTAATAAACAAAAAATGGCTATTGTTTATCCACCCCACCCCACCCCACCCCAACCCCACCCCACCCCCCACCTCCACCATGTGCCCCAAATTCCATAAGAGGGAGAGGATGTTTTGTACTCAGTGTTTACTTCAATATTTATTTTCATCTTTAATGCTTGATAAATCGGGTGATCTCAGGCACTTTTTGAGCTAAGAGACAAAATTTAAATACATTAGTAACCAAGTGCTTTGGCAGATAGGTTTTTTACACCTCCTCCCTCCCTCCCTCCCTCCCTCCCTCCCTCCCTCCCTCCTCCCTCCCTCCTCCCCTCCTCACCTCCAGTCTGTCTTCAAGGATATGAGTTCCTTGTTACTCCAGTGTACTGTACATATTAGTTATTATTACTTGCTCGAATTAATTTTAAAGATTTTGGAAACATGTTATAGAAATTAGCCTAATATGTAACCAAATGTTTAAATATACTGCTAAGCTAACATATTTACTGTAGACTAATTCGTTATTCTTTTGAGTTAATTTTGGTACACATAATCGCATTGTTACGTGTATAGTTAAGTCGCATTGCATCTACAATATATAAGGCAGTTATGGCATTTAAGGGCCTTACTACATATAAGGGCACTTTTACATTTAAGTAATGAATTTATTACATTTAAGATTGCTAAAAACTCATTTAATAAGATGATGCTATAGTAAATTTCGTAAAAAATGACTCACTTTTATGCATCTCTGCCTCTTTGAGAGTGTGGATGTGGAGGGTGACGGGCGGGGCAGCACCTCGGGCGTTGTGGGCGGTAACCTCAGAGCGGTAGTGATGGCCTGGCACCAGCGACCTCACCAGGAACTCCGACTGCGCCAGCGATATGTTCACCACTAACTCGTCCACTTTAGGCGGCTCCTCTTTCCATACCTGTAGGGGAGGAGGAGGTAAAGGTTCTCTGGAGGTTATTTAATGATGTGAATAAAGTTTCTAAATTTTGTTCTTATAGTAAAACAATTTTTAAGGCTTAAAATGGTTGCTTCTCGTGTCTGGAAATGCGAGAAAAGTTATGATCCCAGTTTATATTGTTATAAGTAGTAATGAACCAATCTTGTGTGTGGCGGTGTGAAGTAAGGTCTGTTGTTGGTAATTTGGTGTTTGGGGGAGTCACTCTTCTGACCTGCAATGAAAGGAGACTACGATCAAAGTAGGTGATTTCATGCTGATGGGCAGTAATTAACTATAAGAGGGGGTATATTATCAACGTCAGTGAGGGAGACTTCCTATCAGTGTCACATAGTAGTAGTCAGCTGTTATGGTTCACGTGTGATGTTAGAAATGATAGAATTATCTTGCGTATAATAGATGTTCTCAGTGACAATATGTTTTTTCTTCGAGTGAATAAAATAGACAGATGGATTGGTCTATTAAAGTAACGACATGCGATAAACGATTTTTAATTATAGAACTACTTTTGGATTTACTAATTAATAGCTATTATGGGCCTTTTTTAAGAGTTTAAAGTCCTCGGTAGGCCTTGTTAAATGTTGGGTGAAAATAAGACTTCAATAAGCCTTGTTGGAGATAGAAGGCCTCTGTAGGCCCCGTTTTAACCATACACGTAAACATTTATAGCTAGTGTATACAGTATATGAGATCACTAACTGTATGAGGATCACCTGTACGAGGAAAAGGTCCCAATTGACTCGAAAATGGCTTATGTGAGTCCTGTATTCAAGCAGGACGATCACCACTGCACGAATAATTATAGGCAGGTGAACTTGACCAGCATTTTGTGCAAAGTGCTAAGAGAGCAACGTAAAGGATGCCTTGAGGGATCGTCTAATACGAAACAACCCTGTAAAGGAGTGCCACCATTTATCCCGGGACGTTCCTGATTGACGCAATTACTTAGTGCTGGATGTGTGAGCTCAGATCCTGGAACGTGGTGGCAATATCAATAATATGTATCTAGATTTTCCCAAGGCTTTCGGCAGCGTACCCCATGAAAAGCAGAAAATAAAATTAAAAGGGTGCGGAATTCTGGGACGTGTCCTAGCGTGGATCGGAGACTTCTTGACCGTAATGGTACGAAATCGGCATGTGTACCCGTGACAAGCGGGGTACCACAGGGCAGTGTACTAGGACCGTTGTTGTCTGTTTTATAAATATGCCATAAGCTATACACTCCTCCATTCAAATGTTTGCTGACGATTCCAAGTTATTCAGGGAAGTTAAGAAGCAATAATGGGCTGTGAAAATGTCAGGGTAAAAGTTTTTGGAGTGAGAGTTGTGAACTCTTGGATCAGCCTGCCGGAAAGAGTTGTGAGCTCATTCAAGATCAGACATGACCAACACTGCAGCAGGCACAGACACATTTTGGAGCTAGTACATTCCTAATACTTGCCAACAGTGCTTAACAGAGACGTGATTGACCGACCAAGCGGCTAAAAAGCAGACAACTGGCGAAGAGGATAAAGTAAAAGTAGAGTAAAGGAGAAATAAGTAAGAGTGGGCGCCGGTGAGGGCAGAGAAGACCTACCTGGCAAATTAACTTTTTTGGGAGGACGGCGTTGAAGCTTAAGAGGACATACCTGAAGAAGGAACATCTGTGGGAGGCCTCCGTTGAAGCCAGGAGAGCAAACGATGCTGCTGGAGTGTGAAGTAACGTTATCGACAGTGCACCCCGTCACCTCCTCCGGTGGACCTGCCCGCACACAACATATTGGAAATATAGATTTTAAGGGGCTATTTTTGTTTCCACTCGTCTCTCTATCTAACTGCAGTTCTCTCTCTCTCTCTCTCTCTCTCTCTCTCTCTCTCTCTCTCTCTCTCTCTCTCTCTCTCTCTCTCTCTCTCTCTCTCTCTCTCGCACACACACCATAGTTCCACACTCGCGTAAAATACTAGGCTCATATTCAACATACATCTAGCATAAATTTAATTACCCACTTACAGTAAGTTTTGAATTCAGGTTCTCGACTCTCAGATGTTATGAGTGAACTCGTAAAACAGTTCACCACATTACTTTCCAATCCAAACACAAACGTTTCTCAACTTGATGAAAATACCAAGAGCTAAACTTTTATATTTTGGAATGTTTGACTTAGATTTTTTTATTTTACCTGAAAGTTTCACCAAAGGCACTTTTGGATAGGGTGATTCAGGTTCTGGGTTAGAAATAATTATTGCTAGTAATTGGATCATGATAATTGAGTTTTGCAGTGAATTTTTTTTTCGTATTTGTTAACGCTGACCTTATGCAATACCACGCTAGATGAACGTTTCCTCGCCTCTTGTTGTGCAATTTAGTGGCGTTGTTTTTAATCTTAAGTGTATTGTCACTCCATACAAATACCGGTGGCTCTCTTTGTGGTAAAACTGGGGCTATTTTATTGTGTATAACTAAGGACGGATGACCACGTACCGGCAGAGATAACAGTGAAGGAACAGGGAGTCTTCTGGGTGCCGATGGAGTTGGAGGCGTGGCAGAGAAGGGTGCCGTAGTCCCTCTCTGTCATTGGCGTGTAGAACAGTACACTCCTCAGCCTCTCTGTCGTGTACCTGTGTGTGTGTAGGAGCAGCGACGATGAGTATTAGCTTCGTGTATTTTTGTTATGTATGATCTCCCTTATCCGGTGTATATATATTTGCATAGTGTATATATACCTGTTAGATAATAGCAACAGCCAGCAGTAAAGCTTTCATGTAACGTGGACATCAAGAAGAACTTACCCACCTTATTTATGTGTTAAATTATCCGGGTCTTATACATCAGGCAACACAACACAATCCCCGACCCGTCACCTCTTGCAGATAACGAATTTCCCCAACGCGGCAACTTCCGCTTACGCCGAGAATACCAATATAACGCCATTATAACCTCTCTAAAGTGTGGTAGAACCTCTTCCCTCATGCCCCACCAAAAATATTGAAGCTGTTACTGGATATCACCTGACACGAGACACATCCACCTCCTGGGAATACCTGATAACTGGTGTAATGTTTTATATACACCATTACGTCAAGGGGCAACAGCGCACGGCAGCCTATGCATACCTAATGGCCAGGAGTTTCCACCAGAGGAGCGTTTTTCAAGCGTGTCCAACAGGATCATCAAACTTTAGATGGAGGACCGCTTGTTGCAGGGAAGATTGCAAACTTGTGATGTCATTAACTTAAGACAAAACTCCCAATTTTAGGAAACTTAATTCCCAGATAACATGTACTTTGTGGTTTGTAACGTAATTCGTATTCAGAACAATTAAAATTAATCTTTACAAAATTATAAGCTATTTTTATTTAATTTAATTCTTTGATTTTGCATTTTGAGGAATTCATAAGTGTTTTGCTAATTGTATAAAAAACAAAAAACAAAACAACAACAAAGCAACGTTTATGATTGCTGGTAACTTTTGTTTTATTTTAGATGATTAATAATATCCTGAGAGTAAAGGTAATTGAATAGTAAATGCCTGTTTATTTAATGATCCGAAGGTCAACGTGACAACTTAACACGTAAGTAGACGTAAACTGGTATTGGCAAAAATTAAGATGAATAAAATAACGTCAATATCAGCAATAATAAATTAATTAATTCCAGACGGTATTAATCAAGAGCCCCCTCACACTATAGCTGGAATACCCGGTGTTGGTTCTTGACGAAATAAAGGTGAACAGAATGAGTACACCACAACTAGTGTATCTCATATTTGGGTGTTTTCTCTTTCCCTGGATTCCGTTTTATTTACATATTGGTATATATGAAATAATAAAGGGATTCCAATATGCGGTTCACAACTCAAAGTTAACACTCTATAGTACTTCTTAAGCATGACAATTACTATATCTTGTGTAATTTGATTGAAAAGGCAATTTTACATGGCACTGCATAATATTTATTTAGGCTATTCAGTGTTATCTTCTTATCAGAATCAAATTTTTCCTCTAATGAAAATAAACAAGCCAAAAATTCATATATAGTTAGGGGGGGGGATTAATTTGCAAATATCCTTTTTAGAGGTAGACAAATTTTTGGTCAGAAGTCCATAGAAGAAACTTCTGAAATTATTACTTCATATTTAAAAGAAAACACTAATATTTCTTCCTTATAGAATAACTTTAAGAAAACAAAAAATAATACTTCCCCGCCACTAAGACGTTCACTTAATTAAGCTAACCAACCTGTATGATACCTGAATGTAAAGTTATTGTAGATGCAGTTTACAAGTTTGAAACAGGAAGAAACTTAGCTTATTTTATTTTCAGAACAATAAATTTATGAATCATTGTCGTTTATAAAAGGCTTTGCAAATACTGAGAAAACACCAGTATTTCTGGTACTTGTCCCGGGATTGATTATAACGAGTTATCGTCCGGGATCTCGGTTGTGAAACTCCTGAGTCACAACACCGACAACACTCCACGGTTCACCCAGGAGGAATTGTCATGAACCGCTTTATATGTTGTGTAGTTTTGGTAGTCTAGTTTTCTCGGGGCTGTATTATATTCAGCTCTATTTTAAAACCCGTGGCCGGGGATAGCAAACAAACCAAAATAAATGTGATAAATGTGTCTTTAAGGAAGAGGGTCCACCTTGGGGATAGGGGGCTGACCACTGGCAAATCCCACAAAATTCCACACTTCTTGACACTCCTGGGGTCAGTGCGCAACTCCATGTAAAATTTCAGTTCTGTATATTCAAAACAAAGCCGTGCATAGAGAACATCCACGTAAAAACGGCACTTATATATATATATATATATATATATATATATATATATATATATATATATATATATATATATATATATATATATATATATATATATATATACGAACTTTTCAAGATAGGTGAGAGGATGGGTGTCGTAATATTGTCTGTAGTGCTGTACCAGGAAATATTCAACATGCACCATAACGTTGACTAACACAGTTACACAGTTTTGTTAAAAAAAAAAAATAAAAAAAAAAAAATAAAACTTGGAAGGAAAGTGAATTTACGAGAAATCCTCCTTACTTGGAAAAGGTTAAGCGTTGGCTGACATGTGATGCCTTTATTCTGATACAGTAACTACTGTGCTGCGGTGTCTGGTAAGTTTCCATCGTATATTTGAAGGTGAAATAACCAATGTGTTAAATCTGGGAAATAGAATTTCCTCTAATTTAGACGTTCATCAACACTAGGATTAATTACTAATTAGACTCACAGGTGTGCGAAATAGGTGAAACCTGCCAATTAAGCTTTAATTAGTCATGGAGCTGGCTGCAGAATATTAGAACCATCTACATTTCTGTTTTGACAGAGAAAAATCGGTAAAATCGTGTTTGTGGTACAATAGTTTCATCACGTCGAGCTTAAAGTAAATGATGGATGTTAAGACAGAACAGCTAGTGTCGGGTGTGGCCACGCATACTGCCGAGGGGACACTGAACGTAGTGGGCATCCAGTGGACCTGTTCCCTTTTTTCCGTCCTAAGAGGACGCTATTGGCCGTGTGGAAGTTGCTGGCGTCTGGCAAAATGTTTCTCATTTGTCTGGTGGCGTTCTCATCACCTGTTGTCATTGAGAGCTCTGGACATTGCTTCTCTCCTAAGGCCCTGGCTGTCACTTCGTTCCTGACCTAGTCTTCGCTGGTAATCAACCTCATCGCTCCTATTGTTTAATTTAATTTTATGAATGACTCGCGTCCTAAGTTTGGACGTTTTTTGGGAGTCGTCTTTGGGTCTCCTGCGTGTGTTTGGTGGGTTCAGGGGAAGCTTGAAGGAGTTGTCAGTTTTAAGAAAAAATTAGACCAGGTTACTGTTGACAGAATTGCCCCCTCTCGCTGGCTTGACCAGACACGCGTTGTCAAATAGGAGTAAGTTGCACCATGCTACGCGGGTACCCTGGGCATCAGGCTTTGTCGAGCCTTCGCTCATTTTCTTAAGATCATTAAAATTCCCTATTGTATGTGGGTGACCTGCCTTCGAGATGTGAGGTGTAGTCCTGGTGCTTGATGCTTTGATTGCCTGGAGGGTCGATAGAGTGGCACAGTGCTGTTGAGCAGTTGCCACGACTATCTTGATTGATAAGAGCCATGGTTGTCCAGCATAGAGCTGTCCACAGTTAGTCAGGGAGGTTCACCTTTGTCGTGTGATGAGGTTGACATCTTCGCAGGGATGCCTTAACTCTGGGGTCAATATTGTGTTGTTTATAAAGTATTGTGTAATGTATTAACTCGCGTAGCAGAGGTCGTGTAGGGTAGTGGGCGGGCGGGTGGGTGGTGGGGCGGGCAGGTTGGTGGGTGGGAAACTGGGCCTTAGGGGAAAGGGTTTGTGTTGGCTGCGGTATGTGAGACGGGCTCTGTTTAGCAATGTCTAGGATGCAGGGGGGGGTGGGGCGGGGGGTGACATAACACTGGCACATTACTCGGTCGGAGAGTTCTGTTAATCTCCACATTGTTTACTGGATGTTACCATAGCTTGGACACTGCCTGTTTGATCAGGCTGACTCGTCGACCACCGCAACGTCTTCTCCTTCCCTCTCTCCCCTTCCCCTCTCGTCCCTCCGCTTGGCCGTTATCCGGAGGGGAGGAAGGTCTTACACACTCACACACAGAGCTGATCAATATTTCAATAAGAACCATCCCCGCCCTCACAAGAGTCTGTCGCTTGAGGGAGTCGGTTTGTTGTTTTGTTTCACGTGCCCTTAACCGCCAAGGTAACTTCATAGTATCTATCTTAATGTACTACTTTTAATACATAAAGGTACCAAAACCTGTGGGACTGTAAGTTATGGAATACAGGATTAAAAAATATTCATATTCCAAACAGAAATAAACAGAGCAGAGTTTATCGTTTAACACATCTGCCAACACTCCGAGTGAAGCCGTGACTCACTATTTGCTGAACCCAAACCCAGGGAAACCCGCGGTCGGTTTTAGTGTAAACATAATTGGTTGTGGGTCCAATTCTTGTTATAAGCAGTAAAGGGACATGAAATGGAACGATAATATATCTAACTGTTCTCAGATTTGGCCTGAAAGTCCTGAATACCAATAAGATTTCCTTTAAAAAGAGATTGATATTGCATGTAAACTTTCCCTACAATATGTGTACTATGCAGAGTTTATTGCGACAGAATAAGCCCTCTGTTTAGTTTCTAGATTTGAAATTAATTGCGTATTGGATAATTATTTGAAGAATCTCTACTGTAGAAAAAAAGTTGACAATATTTTTTGGTACAGAAACACATATTCACAAGTTGGGTAAAATAACGCGTTAGTCACTGTAATATATTTTTCCACAGTTATGTCATCGTGGTAAAAAGATTGTGCTTGACACAGACACAACCTGCATCACCAGACCTAATCTCCTAATGGATTCTGGCGGTCATTGTTTCCGTAATTGTTGCAACACTACACGAATTGCAAACTGTGCGATTTTAGCATTTGCGCAATGTTCAGGTTGGGAATATCATGAAATCTCCGGTCGTTCATGTTAGGAGGGAGCAGTTTTTTTTCTTTTTAAAGCTGAAGTACTGTAGATGAAAGAATAAATTTATATCCTATCTCCATCAATGTATTACGTACTGTACATGTCCTTATTTATAGTGAATCTTGCATCTAACGTAAGCGCGTTCTTCACTACCATACACTTAATACAATTGAAATCATACAGAATAGTGACTTAAATTATCTACTCACCTCTGGTTGCTGACCACCTCACTCTGTTCCCTTCTGACGGAGTTGTTGAAGGTCCACGAGAAGGTGACGTCAGGAGGGTCAGCATCTACCAAGCAGGTGACGTTGAGGGGCTCCAGGAGGCCCACACCCCGCAGGGAAGGACTCACCGAGCACCTGGGGGCGTCTGAAAGGAAATCCATACATAGGGCTTTACTCACACGTCAAGAAGAGACTTCAGGTCTTTGTAGTTTACTCACGCTTTAAAACGAAAACTGAGACCCTGGGCTTCATTGCATGCTCGGAATTTGAGATTATTAGTTGATAAAGGTCTTTGGTTACGCTTCAAAAGAAAGTTGAGTACATTAAGCTTTTCAATACATATAAAAAAAAAACAGGTAAGTTTAGCTCATCGATCATTCTTCACACCCCCCCCCCCTCCCTCAACCGTTGACACAAGTGAGTCACTATAGATCCCAGCGATGTATGAGGCAGTTATACCAGGCAAAACTAATTCTCTAGGAATCATTAAATATCTAACACTATTTTTGAAAAACTGAAATTCATTTATCAGTAAGTTTATCAAAGAGAAAAACCCACAACAAGAAGTTACTGCTAAAACAAAATTAATTCATGTGGTTTTTACTTCGATATTTTAATGAAAAGTTGCACATCCTTTTAAAATTCTCTTTTCACACTACATCTATTGTAAGTCATGTCTATATAATGTGAGTCGTGTAGGGTTTCAGTCGTTTACATGTCGTCACTTCATCCCTATAACTTATTTATCCTATGGTAGTAGCAGCTGAGCCATGAGGGAGAGAATAAGTGAGGTCTTACATTTGATGGTGATGTTGACGGGGTCGCTGGTGGTGTCACCCTCCACGTTGGAGGCGCTACACTGGTACTGGCCGGATTTCTCCCTCCGCACTTTCTGTAGGGCCAAGGTGGACTCGCTCACCAGCACCCCTCCGCTCACGTTGTGGCTCACCAACTCTCCCTGGTGGGTAAAGAACGGGACAAGGAGGCGGTGGTGATCACTGTTTTGGGGGAAGGCGAGAAAGTGTGTTGCAGAGCATTGTGCAGATATTACATAGACTTTTTTGTATGTAAGTGTATATGTGTAAGTGCATAATTATAGGAAGAAAAGAAAAAAAAGGTCCAGTAGCGAGGATCATTAAGCGAAACACCCTCACCGAGTCAGTACCAGAGGCTCGGACCACTCGCAGAAAAAGAGGTAATTATCGTGACACACCGCCCAATGTCTGTGTTGTTCCAGTGTCTTGCACACATTGTTGCACTCACTACACAACCACTAATATTGTGTGTTTAGCTAAATTACTGTAGTTACTTAATAATATATACCATACCTTCTCTAAAGTATATTTCATTTACTCTTGACGTTATAACTCCTGTATCCTTGCTTGCTGTCTTCCCTACACTCATCCCCGGAGCGTTAATACGAACTAATATCTTACTGAGTATTTTTAGTCCTCTCAACTACGTACACTATCCCCGTGGCCTTTACTCTGGCCTCCCAACACCCTCAATATAGACTACTAAATGCACCAGACATTTAGGCGGTACACGACCACGACGCAGCGTTCATAAACCTGGGAACACGACCCCAACCAGGCCTGACGTCATACTTTCTTCGTCCAACTTATATTTAGATCAATTTGTTTATCTATACCACACACACACACACAGACAGACACACACTCACGCACGCACACACACACACACACACACACACACACACACACACACACACACACACACTCGTCACCTCCTGGTTCTCGTGTTATATGCTTCACATCCTATCTCACTTTCTGCCAGGAGGAATATTCGCTTACAAAATAGAGGAGAGAGAAGCAACTTGTCGGAGAGGCGACCGTAGCCCTTGCGTGAAAGTTGGGTCATAAACTCAATCAAGGTTCGCTCCTTTTGCTTTCGTCTCCAGAACCTGAACTGATTCTGATCACTTGCATAAACAAGAGCTTTAAAAGACTCCCGGGGAATGCTCCTGCTGATGCCCCTGCTGATGCTCCGGGTATTTAAGAGTGGAAGAGATTGCGGAGAACTGAACAGACACATATACAGAGAGTCACAAGCGAGCCACTGTACATACAACATAATCTGTTTCCTGACTATACGATGAGCTGACCTAATTAAAACAAACATTAATTGATCGTAATATTTACTCTGATTACTTGTACAAATTTGCCTAACAACCGATACAGCTTATATGAGTGATAGAACCGGACTTTGTGTAATAGATAACGAGGTACAGTCGTTATAATGGTGTCCTTCATGCAGAACCGACACGTGTGCCACTAATTTCGGATTTAAAGTTAACCTCACTTAAGCTAATAGTGTTATTGGTTGTTGTAACAGCTTTGGTTAAACTCGTGAAATGTGTTTTGCTTTTTTATTTTGAAAAGTCGTATATTTTGTTTGACGATTTCACTAATTTATGCCTCAGTTGTCAGAAGCGTTTTAACCTGAATTTGTTTAATTACAATTTACAGTTTCAAAATTTATGATCGATTCATTATAATGTCGTCATCACAGTGGAGGTACAGATGAGATTGACTCATAACATGATATATAGAAATAGCTCATGAGTCTAGTATAAATAGTATGGCATTCCTTTAGACGACATAACAGGATTGATACATTAAGACGTAAAGTTAAAATATATGAAAAATTTGATTGAGATAACGAACACGGAAGAAGTTTAGGGGTTATTTACATGTATGGTTAGTGATCAGTAAATGGAACTGAGAGAGGAACACAAGACAATTATTATGAAGACTGTGAGAAACATCGTCAAGTGCTAATTTAGGGTATTGGAATTAAATATGTAATTGCTAGTGTTTCTATAACTCAGGATGTGTTGCTTGTGTTATTGGAATATTCAATAGGATTCATTTTTCACTGTGAATGACTTTATGGATAGATTAATGCCAAACAAAGTGATTAGATGAGTTATGTAATCGATTACGATTTGATGCCACACTTATGATTACGATTGCAAATACGATTACAAGCAATGAAATGTAATCGATTACAATTATGATTACACGACATGTCATCACGATTGCAAATCGTGATTACTTAAAAAAAGTCGAAATTGCTCCAACACAAACAGTACTGCAACACACTCGGTACTTTAACATATATGGTACTGCAACACATATAGTACTCCAACACAGTACTACAAAACACAAAGTACTCCAACACACATACGCCCAATACTCCAACACACACACATAGTACCCTATCACACATGGTACTCCAGCTAACATGTTACTCCAAAATAGAGAATACTCCAACACAGCACTCTAACATATTGTGTACATGGCACTCCACCATACACTGTACTCAACACACAGTCCTCAAGCAATTCCCATAACAAATGCACTCGTCCTTAAGTTATCCTAGAACACTTGTAGAATTCGACCTTGTGCCACCTCAATATATCTACTAGACTAAGTGGTACTCACGTCATGCCACCACTCGACCTTGTAAGGGGCAGGATTGGCGTCGATGTTACAGTCGAAAAAAAGGTCATTGCCCTCCCGAAGGTCATCATGGTCAAGGTTGCGCCCCAGGGTCATCCTCAAGATTGGTTTATCTGCAAAATAAAATAAAAAAGACCTCTAACGAAATTAGCAATACGTCATTAAACACAATTATACTAAGAAGTTTTTATTTACAGACGTTTTTTGACATACCGATATTGCCTTCGATGTAAGTTCTATCCCTGATTTATTTGTTATGTTTCCTTTCTGTGTGGTAGAACAAAGTGTGGGTGATGAAGAGGAGGAGAATGGTAAAGGAAGAGTAAAATCCGTTCATCCCCTAAACTTACGCACTCGGAATAGGAAATAAGTAATTAGCGCCCGCATTCATTACCTCCATTCTGAATTACATGTTAATCCGCAAAAACGAATAAACAAATATTCATTCAATTTTGGAATATAACTACTTGATAAAATTCCTTCTAAAAAAAGTTCATTATTGTATACACTTTCCGAGACTTTTATATTATTTTAATTTGTGGGAACTTTTGAATTAATCTTCCGTGTAAGGCAGCATACACTGGAGGGAGTTGATTGTATGATGTATATATCCTGTATAGAAAGTATTATTATGTAGGATAAGACTTGAAAATTTACAGATAAAAATAAGTCTACACATCTCCAAAATGCCACAAGCAAATTCTCACCATATGTAAGAATTATGGCAAGTTTGAGGTCTACTGTAGGAGGTGTTATAGAGAGCACTCCTTGTGGAAATCATTGTAAGGTGAATCTAAAATATACTGTAGTTTCAAACAGACAACTTTCTTTTTCAAACTTTCACCAAACTCGTCCATTATGTTGGTGTTCAAACAATATTTTCTCTCAAAATTTCATCTGGTTCCTCCATCAAGCCATATGCACGAGTCCATTATGTATGCAACAACTGTGGCAAGTTTCAAATCAGTCAACTGAAAACTGTAGTTGAGTATACAAACTGCACACACTATGCAAAATGTGCGTATGATACTGACGAAGTTCGAAACACTAGTTTTTATTTCGTAAATGTTTCTCGAGCCCCTCCGTAATGCTACAACACACACACACACACACACACACACACCCACACACACACACAAATTATATGGCACTCTGAGGCTCTATTTGTTATGTGATGGAATGTCTTGGTAAATATTTTCCTGTCAGCTCTATATCTTCCATATATTCATTCATATTTTATAAATTCGAAATAAACCAGAAATAATACTTAAGATACCACTACCTTACAATGCATACTGTGAAAATATCTCACGAGTTTTGATGCGTGGACGAAAAAGAAAAACGCTATTCTAAATTGGGAGAGCAAATCCTTCCATACGAGTTGTGTTCCGCTGTTTTGTGGAAAGGCCAGATCCACGTGAGCGGGTGAGCGATCAGCGGACCAGCTGTGGTCGTTGATTAATTTTTCAGGCCAGCTAAATGAAAGCATGTGTTTGAAGTTTAGCTTCGCGTTGTTTAGCAGTGTATTCATTTTGGTTTTCAGTGCGTCCCTTTGTATTTGATCGAATGTTATTAGATTGGTTTAATTTTTTACGTATTTAAAAAAGAATAACAATGGAACGTTTTCGCATATTTTTTTTTGAATATTTTTAACCAAATCGTTTACACATATGGTATTTACAATCGTTTTCCTTACTAGTGAGTTGATCATATTTATTTATTTGTTTACCCATTTTTGTCGATCAGCAGTACATTTTTTGTGTGATTGTAATATCAATTCACTTACCTTGTCAGTATACTAAAGCTTCTATCTTCACAAAAATTAAACGATAACAAAACAATAGATTGAGAGATTACGACAGCTTATTGTAATTCACACCCTTTTCTTCCTTTGAGGGAAAAATACTCTTAAGAATGACATGTTCAGTATTATTACACAAGTGGTAAAAGTCTCCAATATTTGAACCCTTACCAAGAATCCAGCCTAATTTCAGCTAATGGTGTCCAGTGCCTCGATTCTAATTTAACGAAACTCTAAACTAATTTGGCCAAACCAGACAAAACTTCACCCTTATAAATGTTCTTTAGCGTAGCCTCAGCAACCTCCCTCCCCTAATGCAATCTTAAAGTAAACATGTATATTATAGATGTAACTAAAAATAAAAGAAATACAAACTCAACGTATATACACTGTAAATGAGACATCTGCCTTCCGAAAACCACACACTGAACACGCCGAAATACTGTACAGTCGAGGTCAAGAGTTCGCTCTCGCCCTAAATGAAGCAGCATCGATCCCAAATGAGATGAAACAGTCAGGGTAAGTCAGTTAGGAGACTCATTCCTGCTACTCAGTTTCACCACCACTGGGAGCGAACTTTTGTCCCCGACTGTACAATACCCTCACCCTCTCTTCCCGCAGCGGCTGCTTGAATAAGGAAACACCAAAGACGGAGCAACACACACGTTCCCTTCTGTGGGTGCGTAATCCTTTCTTATCTCTCTCCCTGTACTCACACTGGACGTCTAGAGTGAAGATGTCCTCAAGGGCGTTGTTTTGGATGAGTTTGTTCTCGGCGCGACACACCATCTGTCGGCCGTGGTCACTGCGAGAAGCGTTCAGCGTCAACACACTCCTCGTAACGTTGTCCCGATGACTTACCTGTGGGCGAGGTTAATTAAGGTTAAGTCAGGAAGGCTAAATGAGACTAGTTGAAGTTAGTGTAGGTCAGGTTACCTTGGATTACGTTTCATTAGGTTTGTTAGGATACTCTTACATGAAGTGAAATTAGTTTATGCCTGATTTAGATAGTTCAGATCAAGTAAGGTGAATTAAAATGAAATTGTGATGGAATATACTTTTGTTTAGATTAGATTAGTTAGGTTAAGAAAGATGCCCAGTTTTATCAGAGTGAGGGACAGTGAGAGAATAGTTAGGAACACACACACACACCTACCATAGTATGTAAGGGCTTGATCATCTGTCCCTGCTGGTACCAGGTGACGAGGGCAGGTGGGTTACTGCCTAACACGGTGCAGGTGATGGTGGCGGTGCGGCCCTCAGCTATGGGTTCCTCCTCCCCTGTGATGGTCACAGTGAGGGGGCCGCCTGCACCACACCGCCAAGGAGGGGGGTTGAGTTAGTTATTATGGGAGTGATAGTTTACACACTCCATCTATAACATATATATATATATATATATATATATATATATATATATATATATATATATATATATATATATATATATATACCTATACCTTCAGTGATATATATATATATATATATATATATATATATATATATATATATATATATATATATATATATATATATATATATATATATATATATATATATATATATGTATATAGATGGAGTGTTTTATATATAGTGCAGAAATAATAATAATCGACAATATGTTTGTAAAAAATGTAAAATTTGTTCACCTAAAAAGGAAAAATTATCAATAACCAAAGAAACAGGTCTCACAGGTAACAGGTTCAGGTACCTACAGGTCATTTACAAGGTTCAGGTACTCACAGGTCGTATATAAAGTTCAGATACTCACAGGTTGTATATAAGGTTCAGGTACTCACAGGTCGTATACAAGGTTCAGGTACTCACAGGTCGTATATAAAGTTCAGATACTCACAGGTTGTATATAAGGTTCAGGTACTCACAGGTCGTATATAAGGTTCAGGTACTTACAGGTCACGTTCCTGAGATATTCGACTTCGTCTGGCCCGGTACGATCGTTGTTAGTCGCCCTACACAAGAAGGGGGAGGTCAGGTCGCCTCGACTGGCCTCTACCTCCAGCACGTTGTAGGTCTCGTTGCCCGCGATGGTGTAGGTACTGTCCACCAGCTTCCCCTCCTGCAGCCACAACACCTGGGGGGAGGGCGAACCTGTGGGCCGGGGAGAAGGGAGAGGGATTTAGGGAGGAGGAAAAAGAATATTGTAAGATGGAGATTAGGGTAAGATAATAGAGGTTGGGGAGGAAGGTAGGGCAGTTGGGGATAGGGAGGAAGGTAGGACAGTAGGGGATGGGGAGGAAGGTAGGTCGGTAGGAGTTAGGGAGGAAGGTAGGGCAGTAAGGGATGGGGAGGATAATGGATATTTGAGAGAAGGTTAGAGGAAAGTAACTACACATAAAGAAGCATCACTGACAGACGCTCGTAATCCATACACCGTAAACTAACACTATACTAACTAGGCACACACACACATAATTCATCTCACACACGAGCAATTAGTCTAGACCACCACCTCACGTCTTCACTTCACCAGAACAAGACAGTGATGATAATAGATGGGAAATAAACTGTATGAGAGAGAGAGAAACGAACGAAGGGTCTGAACACGTGAGAAGATTGTCGTTAAAACATAATTGAAGAACATAACACAAGTGAGAGGTTTTGGCATTCCTCATTGTCGAGGCTTTCAAAACAAAGATTATATTTTCAGACAACCTATTTTTTTACCAAACGTTATATTTTCAGACCAAACATTAATATGTTCAGACCAAACATTAATACTTTCAGACCAAAGTTTAATACTTTCAGACCAAATATTATACTTTCAGACCAAACAATACTTTCAGACCAAACATTAATACTTCCAGACGAAACATTAATACTTTCGGACCGCACATTCTTCAGACCAAACATTAATACTTTCAGACCAAAGTTTAATACTTTCACACGAAACATTACACTTTCAGATCAAACATTATACTTTCAGACCAAAGTTTAATACTTTCAGACCAAACATTATACTTTCAGACCAAACATAATACTATCAGACTAAACATTATACTTTCAGACCAAAGTTTAATACTTTCAGACCAAACAATATACTTTCAGACCAAACATAATACTTTCAGACCAAACATAATACTTTCAGACCAAACATTAATAATTTCAGACCAAACAATACTTTCAGACCAAACATTAATACTTGTCACCAAAGTTTAATACTTTCAGACCAAACATAAATACTTTCAGACCGAACATTAATACTTTCAGACCAAACATCAATACTTTCAGACCAAACATTAATAATTTCAGACCAAACATTAATACTTTCAGACCAAACATTAATACATTCAGACCAAACATTAATACTTTCAGACCAAACATTAATACTTTCAGACCAAACATTAATACATTCAGACCAAACGTCATTCCCCTAAACTACCAGACGACCTAATTATCACTCACTATCAAATGTGAATCAACACTCGGCACGCCACATCAAAAGGTTCACTTAGGCAAATTTACACAACTCTTTACTTACACGTCACAAGCTTCACCATAACAGCGGGAACTAGAAAGAGCTGAAGCAACTTGTCTTTGTCTTTATTCATATGACAGGATTTTGTGTGTTGTGTGTTCTATTATATTTATTAACGCATTCTCTACTCCTTCTTATCTCCCTCACCACAGCATCCTCTCCTCCCTCTTACCTCCCCCACCAAGCAGAATCCTGGACTCAATCATTCTCATCTCCCACACTTACAGCATCCGAGATACACACGCATCTCCCACACCAGCATCATCCTCGACTTACCTCCATACGCCTTACAAATGACGTCGTTTCTGTCTCCCAAGTTCACCGGAGATACACGCGTGATGACTTCAGTCTTGGTGGGTGGCACTGTAGGGAGGTGTAACATTGCTGATTAGAGGGGTTTTGACAGGTGAGGCGGTGGGGGGTGGGGGAAGGATAGTAAGGGGGGGAGGAGGGTTTTGGGTTTGGGGGAGGAGGATGGTAATTACTTTTATTTTTTTTTCTTCTTTTCTATTTTCTGTCTTTTGTTTTTCACCAACACGGATTTATTTTAACAGTTTGACTGATAACTTTGGAGTCTGAGTAATACTGAATTTATTGTATTTACTTGACACGGCGTAGCAGGGCGTGTGTGTCTGTAGTATTAGTAGTCAGCAGGGCGTGTGTGTCTGTAGTATCAGTAGTCAGCAGGGCGTGTGTGTCTGTAGTATCAGTAGTCCAGCAGGGCGTGTGTCTGTAGTATCAGTAGTCAGCAGGGCGTGTGTGTCTGTAGTATCAGTACAGGGCGTGTGTGTCTGTAGTATCAGCAGTCAGCAGGGTGTGTGTGTGTCTGTAGTATTAGTAGTCAGCAGGGCGTGTGTGTCTGTAGTATCAGTAGTCAGCAGGGCGTGTGTTCGTAGTATCAGCAGTCAGCAGGGCGTGTGTGTCTGTAGTATCAGTAGTCAGGGCGTGTGTCTGTAGTATCAGTAGTCAGCAGGGCGTGTGTGTCTGTAGTATCAGTAGTCAGCAGGGCGTGTGTGTCTGTAGTATCAGTAGTCAGCAGGGCGTGTGTGTTCTGTAGTATCAGTAGTCAGCAGGGCGTGTGTGTCTGTAGTATCAGTAGTCAGCACAGGGCGTGTGTGTGTCTGTAGTATCAGTAGTCAGCAGGGCGTGTGTGTCTGTAGTATCAGTAGTCAGCAGGGCGTGTGTCTGTAGTATCAGTAGTCAGCAGGGCGTGTGTGTCTGTAGTATCAGTAGTCAGCAGGGCGTGTGTGTGTCTGTAGTATCAGTAGTCAGCAGGGTGTGTGTGGTATCAGTAGTCAGCAGGGCGTGTGTGTTCGTAGTATCAGCAGTCAGCAGGGTGTGTGTGTGTGTAGTATTAGTAGTCAGCAGGGCGTGTGTGTCTGTAGTATCAGTAGTCAGCAGGGCGTGCGTGTCTGTAGTATCAGCAGTCAGCAGGGCGTGTGTGTGTCTGTAGTATCAGTAGTCAGCAGGGCGTGTGTGTCTGTAGTATCAGTAGTCAGCAGGGCGTGTGTCTGTAGTATCAGTAGTCGCAGGCGTGTGTGTGTCTGTAGTATCAGTAGTCAGCAGGGCGTGTGTGTGTGTAGTATCAGTAGTCAGCAGGTGTGTGTGTCTGTAGTATCAGTAGTCAGCAGGGCGTGTGTGTCTGTAGTATCAGTAGTCAGCAGGGCGTGTGTGTCTGTAGTATCAGTAGTCAGCAGGGCGTGTGTCTGTAGTATCAGTAGTCAGCAGGGTGTGTGTGTCTGTAGTATCAGTAGTCAGCAGGGCGTGTGTGTCTGTAGTATCAGCAGTCATCAGGGCGTGTGTGTCTGTAGTATCAGTAGTCAGCAGGGCGTCTGTGTAGTATCCAGTCAGCAGGGCGTGTGTGTAGTATCAGTAGTCAGCAGGGCGTGTGTGTCTGTAGTATCAGTAGTCAGCAGGGCGTGTGTGTCTGTAGTATCAGTAGTCAGCAGGGCGTGTGTGTCTGTAGTATCAGTAGTCAGCAGGGCGTGTGGTAGTATCAGTGTGTGTCGTAGTATCAGTAGTCAGCAGGTGTGTGTGTCTGTAGTATCAGCAGTCAGCAGGGCGTGTGTGTCTGTATCAGTAGTCAGCAGGGCGTGTGTGTCTGTAGTATCAGTAGTCAGCAGGGCGTGTGTCTGTAGTATCAGTAGTCAGCAGTGTCAGTGTGTCTGTAGTATCAGTAGTCAGCAGGGCGTGTGTGTCTGTAGTATCAGTAGTCAGCAGGGCGTGTGTGTCTGTAGTATCAGTAGTCAGCAGGGCGTGTGTGTTCTGTAGTATCAGTAGTCAGCAGGCCGTGTGTGTCTGTAGTATCAGCAGTCAGCAGTAGTCAGCAGGGCGTGTGTGTCTGTAGTATCAGTAGTCAGCAGGGCGTGTGTGTCTGTAGTATCAGTAGTCAGCAGGGCGTGTGTGTCTGTAGTATCAGTAGTCAGCAGGGTGTGTGTGTCTGTAGTATCAGTAGTCAGCAGGGCGTGTGTGTCTATATTATTATTATCGCCAGACGGCCACACTAGCACACTGTAGCTATCAGTCAGCTTTGAGCCTTGTGATAAACAACACTGTGTGTGTGTGTGTGTGTGTGTTTGTATGTATGTGTGCGTGTGTGTGTGTGTTTGTATGTATGTGTGCGTGTGTGTGTGTGTACATGTGTGTACGTGTGTGTGTGTGTGTGTGGGCGTGGGGGTCGAGAGAGAAAGGGGGAGACAGACCGCCCTGTGAATAACCAGCATTGGAACATTAATTATTTTTTTTATTCCGTTTCCATTTTTATAAACTGGTTGACCGGGAACCTGTGTGGGTGTGTGCGAGTCTACGTTAATTCTACACCAGTAATATGCTCCATGGGACGTAAATTACGATGCAGCTCTAGAGAGTAATGATGGATAATTATAGACAGGTATTATGTCACCAATTCTGCCTCGTAAATTAGCAAACGACATATTTCATTAAAGGATATGACTATACAATATACAGTAGGAGCCAAACACATTATAAGAGGCAGGAATGGACGAGGGACTGAGGAGATGTATTGTGGACTAACACGATTTGCTGGAAACTTTCACATAGTTTAATAGGCTAGCCCGTGGGTGGTGATGGTCAAGAGACATACAGGGGTAGGTTGAATATATTTGATTAGATGATTCGTTATAATTTCCCATAAATGGAGAAATATAGATCATGGGTGAAACATGTAGTGGAAGAAAGATCCTTAAGCTAGCTGGAGGCAATAATGACAAATATTTACTATAAAACAAATTGAATTAATGACAGGAAAAGTGGATGCTAGAATTATATATTTCTATGTATAAGATTCGTTGGTTTAAAATTAAGAAAATTCACAAAGATTATATTTAGAGGAGTGTTTTTACAGTTGTCATGGAAATATTGCCATTTATTAATTTATCAATACAGCATATAAAGGAAATTACAATTAACTTCACATAATATCTACAATACTTGAAAGAGTCATTAAGATATTACCACTAACAACTGGAGAGAGAGGAGAGGAGGACCTACCGACCACTGTGAGGTTGACCCAGGCCATCCTCGACCTGGTGTTCTGGAAGTCGACCCTGCAACGGTAGAGTCGCCCGTCTTCGACAGTGGCGTGGGCAAGGAGAAGCGCGGGCGGCGTACTATGGGCGTGGAAGAACGCCCGAGACCCGAACACCTTCGGGTCCGCCCACCTGGACCCGCGCTGTATGGGTCTCTCGTCGTAACTGTGGCGGTGAGAGAAGGAAGGCGTTATGTGTGCTCTGTGGACCTTGTGTGCTCTGTGGGCCTTGTGTGCTCTGTGGGCCTTGTGTGCTCTGTGGGCCTTGTGTGCTCTGTGGCCTTGTGTGCTCTGTGGGCCTTGTGGCTCCTGTGTGTGCTCTGTGGGCCTTGTGTGCTCTGGGCCTGTGTGTGTGTGCTCTGTGGGCCTTGTGTGCTCTGTGGGCCTTGTGTGCTCTGTGGGCCTGTGTGTGCTCTGTGGGCCTTGTGTGCTCTGTGCTGGGCCCTGTGCTCAGGCCTTGTGTGTGCTCTGTGGGCCTTGTGTGCTCTGTGGGCCTTGTGTGCTCTGTGCTCTGTGGGCCTGTGTAGGTGCTCCTGTGGGCCTTGTGTACTTGTGCTCTGTGGTGTGCTCTGTGGGCCTTGTGTGCTCTGTGCTCTCTGTGCTCTGTGGCCTTGTGTGCTCTGTGGGCCTTGTGTGCTCTGTGGGCCTTGTGTGCTCTGTGCTCTGTGGACCTTGTGTACTCTGTGCTCTGTGGGCCTTGTGTACTCTGCGGTAACGGACAGAGTAGTGTGGATAAAGTGAACCAGTAAACCTACATCTTAGCAGCTGTCTCTGTCGTGCTTTAACAAATATATTTTACAAGGTCTCAATACACACACGTTTATAGCTATAATTTAAGAGGCAACACCACTCAACGTTCGTACTTACAATTTTGTTTTTTGTGAGTTTAGAACATAAGAATGGAGGGAACTGCTGCGGGTCTATTGGCCCATACTGGGCAGTTCCGTTTACACCCAACCCCTATCGCTCATACATCCATCCAACCTACTGTATGTTTGATGCTATCCAGCGTATTCGAGTTAATGATGATGTTTGGTAACTTGTTCCATTCATCTAATATATTTTCAAACCAAAGTTTACCTATCTCGTGCCTAAAACTAAATTTGTCTAATTTAAAACCATTGCTTCGAGTTCGCTCATGGTTGGATAGTTTGAGAGCCTTTGTTATATCACCTTTGTTTAGCCCTGAGTGCAAATTAAGATACTTTAACCTGTCTCTGTAACCAAGGTTCCTAATGCCCGGGATTAGTCTTGTCATTCTCCACTGAATTCTTTCGAATAATTCTATATCCATTCTGTAGTACGGTGACCAGAACTGAACTGCGTAATCCAAGTGAGGTCTCGCAAGCGCAAGATATACAGGGTAGTTTTAGGATGACCTCGCTAGTCTTGTAACTAACACTCTTTGTATGATGAACCCAAGTACTTTGTTGGCCTTGTTACTCGTTTGTCCCTTTAACCACTACCGTTTATGCATAATACAACAGTAACGATTTTCTACTGAAATTCTTATAATGCAGCGTGTTATGTGTCCCTCAAGTACTGGTTATTAATGCCTGGTATATGTCACAATGGTAACCTTATTACAATTTGAAAGTATTTTGAAGATTGGGTTAAAATATTGAATTGACATCTCTATTAATTTGTCTTTTAATCCGATCATTAGAGTATTTCCGCTTGCTTCACGGTTATATTTTCTGAAAAGTTTGATAAGTAGGTCTTTTGTCGCTGGCTGGGTGGAACCATTTGCTTTACCCTTGCAATAACCGGACCAGTTCTGCACGTCATTAAATACACATCTGTCTTCGTTGGCTCTTGACAGGCGACCGGAGTCTCTGGAAAGACTGACCATGTTGACTGAAATCTCAGCTTGCGAAAGTTAAAAATCTAAATGTGTAATGGGTATTGATATCAGAGGTAACATTATAGGGATTAAATGCTTTATAATCTTTAGTTCTGAGACATATGTTTACCTCCTCACACGACCTGGTCATAATGGTGATAAGATAAAAACAATATCTGAAATATAAAGAATTAATACTATTATCGCCTTTTATGTCATATTTGCTGGCACATGATTTTACACCAAGAAGCATTTATTATTCTCTTATGTTCTATATAACCATATATCATGCTCTAGAGATCCAGTTATTCATAATATTTGACACCTTGATTAAATTCCTCTAATAATTTGGTCTATAAAGTTGTTGGAATAATTTTGGTTAACATGGGTAATTTTTCACTCATAAAAAATGGATAGATTTTAGTGTCACTGTAGGAACCGTTCACACTAATGCATCTCGTTAATGAATCTCTGGTGCGCACTCTGTTGTCGCGCGAACCTGACTCAGATGAATGACGACAGAAACAGGGAATTTGGTTCTGTCGATAAGTATGTTGTGGCCGTAATGGTTAAATGGCGAAGTTGTGTTATATGTCTACCCTAGCAACCGATTCGTGTGTCTTTATCCGTCACGGCTCCTCGGGGAGAAAAAAAGGCTAATAAAACATATCTTCTTTGGCGCTGTTTTGAAATTACATCACTTTTAGATTAAGCTGCCAACTCTCTGCCCCCCTTTTATTTTATCTTAATCTGATATCTGAGTATATATTCCTTACAGTTGCAAGTCGAATGAGTCCCAATTGTACTAGACTCCAAAGTAATCCGATCTATTCTAACCATTAGGATTAAAGCCCATTAGAATTGACCTACTTATTATTGGATCCAATTAGGTTTCATATCAATTAATATTGGAACGCAGTAAGATTGGTATCGATAAGGATTGTGGCCCATCAGGTTTGAAGCCCATCAGGTTGGGGCCATTTTTTACTGAGGTGTGTAAAGAATGGGGCCCCGGTTGAAGCCACCCGCCTCCCTCCTTACTAAAAACACTTCCCAGACTTGAAGAAAAAGCATCACCTTCGATTTCTTCCAAGTTTCTTCATTCCCGGCCCATGTCTCTAACCTTACTCCTCTCTGACTAACAAACACCACCATCTTGCCTATGTCAGCATCTACGTTGAACTGCTTCCTCTTAGCTACTGTAATTAATATCATATATCACCTTGTTTTTTGTATGTTATCTCGGGAATATTACATGTCAATAGTATACAGAGACAATCCAATCTTTTAGTTTATTTCCAATCTTTTTCTAATCACATTGACCACAGTCCAATTAACCAGTTATGTCATGACCTCATTAACCATTTGATCGACAACGTGTAAATAACCACATTAATATCATATACATAATTTTCTTTTGTATCTAATTTTAACTTCAATACCAGAACAGATGTACCCTCACCCCCTATTAGTTCCGACACAAGTCCTACCCTCTTTATATGGAAATACCACCTCACTCTTCCCACAAGCCTCCCGCCATATTCCACAACCCTTCTCTATCAACTCGTTCATGGGTTTTCTGGCAAGCGTATGAAGCCTTTGTTATATACCCTCATGCATTAATCTAACATACTCTTATATTCAACTGACGGACTCAGCCACACTCCTCCATGAAGCCACCCTCGTCATCTCTTACCTCACCGCGTGTGATCTCTTTAATTCTCTCAATTACCATTCTATATAAATATCCTGTATACCTTTACCTTCTATACTCGACACACGAATTACCTGCACTCAACCCCCCCTCCCCCTTCCCCCTGAAGGTTTTGCATTCATCCCTGACACATCTCCCTCCATATACAGTCATTGCTTCCCATATAATCCCTGAGTGTCTTTTGTGTACACACCGTAATACTGCCTCGAATGTTTCCAACGAGATCTGTTTATGTAAATCATTTGATATTTTGTAGAACCACAGGCAATAAGATCAAGTGTTTCAGTGTGATTTTGTTTTGTGGTGACATGTAATCTATACAGAATACTAAACTTTGACAAGACAAATGTTGATAGAATATTTATAATGAAGTGAGGAGGAGGGGGTGTATGGGTGTTGAGAAGGGAATGTATTGGAGTGTAGTGAGGGGTTTCAGGAAGTGGGGAGAGGACTTTGTGAGAGTGGGGAGAGGGCTTTGTGAGAGTGGGGAGAGGGCTTTGTGAGAGTGGGGAGAGGGACATGTGAGAATGGGAAGAGGAGTGTATGATTATGGAGTAGGGAGAGAGGTGTATGATCATGGAGTGTGGGTAGTGGTTTGTATGAGAGGGAGGAGAGGGAAGTATAAAAGTAAGAGACGAAAATAAGTATCCAGTGTTCTGATCCGGAAGTGGCCGCAAATTTTTCCTGCTAACACCGCGAGTTTGGTGAGAGTTAAGCTCGGGTATGTAATGGGTAGATTAGTGGTAGGTTAAGTAACGTTACGCTATATTAAAGATAAAATTAGGTTACTTAGATTAAATTATTAGGTAAGTGATATATTTGTTAAGGTTAGGTTAGTTTAGTGTAGCGATAGGTACGGTTAAGTTAGGTTAATTTTGGTTTGGTAACAGATCTGGGGGTTATTGAGTCCTACTTCATCCCCTCCTCCACTCTCCTATTCACCCTCCACTCCAATCCACCCACCCCTCCACCCCCACGCACCTACTCGTACTAAGGGCACGGCGGGCAAACTTTAATCTTCTGAAATTGTGTACATGATAGGAATTTTGAATATGAGCCTTCAGCTCCCTCGCAATATACTGTAAAGGCCAGCTGCTCACACATAAAGCTGAGGACTCCATCCCCCTGGTCTACTGAATACTTACTCTGGAGACCTATGTTGTATCCCCCTCTCCATCTACAGTTTTAAACCATGTTGTGGTCTGTAATTCACGGCAGCATTCACTCTCCTTTATACTGCAGCAGTACAGATAATCCTTCATCATTCTTGTTAATTTAACTTACCTCTGGAAATTTTTATTTTTTTCAGGAAAATTTAGAAAATCTCTCCCAGTCCTGAACAAAAGAAGTACATTATCCGGAAAATATTTTTTACCTTTGATTTCCAGCTGTGACTTTAACCTTTAATGCAAAAACGTGAACTCGGCCAGGGAGTCATGATAAAACAACCGCAATGACTTATTCTCATAATCAAGCTTTGGTATTGTATTAAATCAATGACTCATTTAATCGTCTTTAAGTCTATATGGATTTGGAATTAGATATCATAAAAAAAACATTCACAATATAATGAGCAAAGTGTAATTAAATCAATTAAGTTATATATATTACTAACATTACCCAGTCAAGCCATATTACTTCTTTATGTGTAATTGGGTTCAACCTCGACCATCAAATCACACAGAATATCGTGATTTCCTTTTCTAAATTATATAAATATTTGGTTTTAAGTTTTTATCGAATTATATATATATTTTTTACACTTAATATTTCTGACTATGATTATATTGTTGTCGATAATGTGATACGTAATGATGACCCCTTCTTTTAGTCACTGAGTCTATGGAGAGTGGACTTTAGTTAGCTTATAATAGTGTAGATATAATAATGATAATAATAATAATAATGAGTAAACCAATGATGATGATGATGAAAATGATAAGTATTAAAAAGCCTAATAATAATAATTACATAAGAGTAACCTCAAATCATTTATGTGAACATTTATCACAACACCAACTCGTAGACACAGTGCATTTTAAAACGGGTTATATATGATGGAAAATGTCCTCTATGACGGTAATGTATATCTCAGGTTTTCTCCGGGGTCTCTGGTATCCTCTGTGCCAACACGGGGCTCATGGGGGTTGACTCCCACTGGGTCATCGAGAGAAACCAATTCATTATAACTGATAGAGCTGTCAAGTATAAATATGAATATCAACTAACAGTCCGTCAGTAAAATGCTCCACATGCTGAATTACCTTCAGCTGGGTCATACACGGGTGAGCTGATCTGTCGCTCTAAGCAAGAATAAGACTTGCATCAAAATCTAGCGCGTTTGGTTAACACTGGCATAGAGTCAATAATTTTATGAGAGGCCAAATTTCCATTACCCCACGTTATCAGCGATGATAACATCATAACCGGCCAAATTTATGAAGACTTGTTCGGAATAAAGTTACTTTTATGAGAGGATTATATCGCGTTAATACAGGTTAAGCGTGGCCGAGATCGTATCAGGGCAGAGCTGTTCTCGTCTAACAGCTCGGTAAAAGACGTGTTTGTGAGGGAAAAATGGCAGAGTGGTTATCTTAATCGGGCTCGAATCTCCGTTAAGGAGGCAGTGTGTTACTGATACCCGGTGTGATATTAAGTCATACTGCCACCTGCTTGTTGTAAAGTTTTTCTCACAAATAATCACATAAATAGGGAGATGTGTACTACCTAGCGTGCCTCAAGTCGTGTGGGATATATTAAGACAGGCCCTGAAGCCATAAGGTGACTAATACATGTTTACTGTAGTGACCCACAGTGTCGCCCTTCCCTCCACTCATCCATCAGCAGTCCCTCATCCTCCGCCCCAGTTTCCTGACGTGATAAAAGATAAGACTTCCTCTCAGAGAATTGAATGGGTAAACACGTCACTCGTTTATTACAGCTTTCCAGAGTTGGGTTTACTATTTCAGGAAGTGTGTTTACAGTGAGAGGCGCTGGAGTGAGTCTAGCATTGATATTGTCTGGTGTCAATAAACCGACCGTATACATTAGGAAACACCTTATCATTTTGTTAAATCTCATTTGATATGTAAGTATGGATGCGGCTGCCAGGTGGATACAACCTTCACCTTCTGTCATCAGGTTCGAGCAGAGTCTTTCTAGTTCAACAAGCTGTGAAGGTGTATCTGTGTGTATAATTGCACAGTTGTGGACGTGGTGGAGGTTGAGTGTAGTCAAGGTTATAGAACTCCATTTTATTATAGTCTGTTCACTCGGAGCTTACAACTGAGGCCTAGGGTCAGTTTGTAGAAAGGCATCTGATTGACTGGTGGACATAACGTGGGAAAGGCACTACATTTAATACGACCTAATCTCGTATTCATAGTCTGATATTTTAATGGATAATAACTATTTATGTTGATCTCGGGATAATTTTCGCACATGGGGAAGCAAAAATTAGCCTGTGAAACGCTCTGGTTGGGTTAGAATCGGTAAGGTTGGATAGGCTTGGTCAAGTTAGGTCTAAGGTTGCGGTTAGGTTAGGTTAGGGGTAGAAGTTACCTGTGTTAGGTTTGGTTAGGTTAGGTTAGTTTATAAGTGACCTGTGTTAGGTTTGGTTAGGTTTCGGGTCCGGGTATTAGCAAGTCCCGGGTGAGTTACCTGTAGACTGGCGCCTCCACGTCGGCGATATACCAGAGGGTGAGGATAGGAGCGTCGTGGTCAGGGGCACGCACGTTGCAAGGCAGAGACGCATTGAACCCCACCACTACACGGACCTCCTCCACGTCCTCCTCCTGAGTCTCTGTAAGGGGAAAGAGGAAAGGTGTTAGCTGGGCCCATACAACACCTTACCCTAATTAAAGAGGCGGAATTTCTAAGGTTTCTTATACAGGTAAAGGTGTGGTGGAGTATGTGTTGACAAAAGGTGTGATAGATATTATGAACCTTTGGAAAATAGGATACAAAGCACGCACGCACGCACGCACGCACGCACGCACGCACGCACGCACGCACGCACGCACGCACACCATTTTTCACTATAAAACTCTAGGAAGAGGCGTGCATAGGGAGGGCCAGAAAGGATGAAATATAACAATACGAGCGAGTTAAAATAATCTTTATATGGGAAAGATAAGTTACCGGTTAGGAGTGGGTTGGGTTAGGTTAGGAGTGGGATAGTAGGTTACGTTAGGCTAGGATGGGTTTTGTAGCGTTAGGTTAGGTTAGGTTAGGTTAGGTTTGGTTTGGTTTGGTTAGGTTAGGTTAGGTTTGCATGTTCAAAGATTACTTTTCAGGTTTAAAAAAAATTTCTGTTATTTCGAAAGATAATTGAAACATGTATTTCTGCTAATGGACCTCACTTTAAATATTTATTAGATTAATGTTAAGCTCTACTAACATGTTTTAAGGTCTATGTTTCCTGAATTATGTCCTAACTTGTAGATAATGTAATGTGTGGTGTGCTTATCGTCAAAGGCTGGGACCAAATTTCCGGTAAGAATATTCTCCAACATTTATTTCATTTTTAAACTGTGCTGACTTAACGTATATATACTCGTATATACTTCAGGCGTATAGTTTCAGTATAGTTTGATAATTGTTTATTACGTTAATTTTGTGTACCAGTCAACCAGTCAAGTGTGTTCCTTATATCGACTCTCACACAGCGACTTATGTGCTAAAGCAGACATCACTATATCGTGTTTAGGTTACATACATATTTCCAAAGGGATATGATAAAGTATTATAACAAAGTAACTTAAGATATTATTACTTTCGTGTATTGTTTTCGTAATTTTTGGCATAAAGATGTTTAACTAAGACATTGAGGACTCGGATTCTCCATTATTCATAGTATAAAATTTCTCTTAACTTGAGGTGGATAGAACACGTATAACTACCATAACTCGCATCCACGAAAAATGACATCAGATTCTCACTGAGAGACTCCCTCATCCAAACCCATTCTTTTAGGAAGGGACAGAGAGATGAAAGAACTAAGACGGATTCTTTGTGACTCCTGACTTGTATCTAAAGTAGTAACACTGCCACTGCGAACTCTCCTAGCTAAGTGTGCTCTTCGGTGAGTTGAGGCTCTGTAACTACCAACCTAACCTGTGTCCTGCGTCACACACACACACACACACACACACACACACACACACACACACACACACACACACACACACACACACACACACACACACACACACACACACACACACACACACACACACACACACACACACACACACACACACACACACACACACACACATACACACACCTCCTCTCACTCTCTGTTGTCCTTCGCCTTCCCTCCCTTCCCTTTACTCTTTTACTTTCCGTTCAGCACAAATTTTTCGCTTTTTTTTTCTTACTCCTCTTTTCTCTCTTCTCTTCTCTACTCTTCTCTTGGTTTCATATCCCCTTCTTTCCCTTCACTCTCCCACCTCACCTTCCCTCAATCTCTGTCTCTCTCTTGCCTTATTCCCTATTCCCCTCTTCCCTTGCTATTCATTCACTTTTCTTTCCTTACCTGTTTCCTTATCTCCTCACTCTTCGCATCACTCTCATACTGTTTCTTCACTTTCCTCTTCACTCTCCCTTCACTCTCCCCTCATTCTCCCCACTCCTATCTTCCTCTACGTTCCTCTCCCTCTCCCCCTCTACTCTCCCTCTCCCCTACGTTCACTTCCTCCCCTTTATGACTGTGTGTGTGTACATCCAACTCTCCCCCATCCCTCATATTTCCTCTTTGACCTCTGTGTTCTGCCGCCGACACAACAACTGCACCAATTTAACTGAAACCAAGTTTTATAATTGCCTGTAAAAATGGCGGTGAAACTAATCCACCCTACCAGGACCCAGATACGGAACCCGAAGAATTTTCATACTAAATCAGCGACATTAATTAAGTTAGGTTAGGTTAGATTAGGTTAGGTTAGGTTAGGTTAGGTTAGGATTAAGAGCCAGATCCAGGGTGTGGGAATAATTGGTTCTTCGTATGAGAAATATGTCCTTGTACCATTTGGAACTTATCAACAAACTGAGAATATTCTTGTTTCTTGTGTCCATATTTTTTCTTGTTTTTCTCACACTCGTCTTTTATCATTCTCTCTTTAATTCCCTTTATTTTAGGTTTTTGTAGCCCTCGATCCTCCTCCCACAGAGATATAGATGAACAAACAATATATTGACACAATCTATTGGGGGAGCTTCATGATAGCGAGTGAAGCCCCAGGGACGCGCTTTACGGGGAGGTCTAGTGCAGTGAAAGACATTTTTAAGGACTAATTTCGGGAAAATATGTTCAGAAAAACTCGACTTTCCCTAGAAACTGAAGATTCTATTTTTGCAGGTCCTAAAGATATATATTAAATGATTTTTATTTGTAAAGTACGTATATAAATAAATTCTCAGTGAACTAGTAAGCTTTGATAGACCTAAAGGAGACAATTCGGTGGTCTAACTCACCGTATTTACACAGTATGTAAGGTCAGGAAATAACGTTGGATTTCTGTGGTGTTGACAGCACCTGGTGGCCTGAGCCTAATCAACTCTCGCACTGAGACAGGAAAACGAATTACCGATTGAATGGAATATATTCTGTTGTGTAAATTTAAAAGGCTGTATTTTCCTCAGAATTGACTCTCCGAAAAAACGAATTCCATACCTATAAAACTATACTGTTATACTGTACTTACATAATAATTGTATATGACGAAATTTCAGCCTATCAAGAAAGGAAATATTGACTCATGAATGTAAGATGAAAATGCGGTTGATTTTACAAAGCTGTAATACATGAAAACTAGCAACATCCAAAATAAAGGAATAGTAATGCATATGTATTTAATTTTAAGAATACTCGAATGTTATCTTAGTAATATTTCCTGGAGGATTAAAAAAAACAGAGCTGCATATATATCATTGTAACACATATTGCTAGAATGAGAAAGGTCACAGTTGGTTATTGCTAATATGGAATTTCATCTGGACACATGTTCCTGACACACACTAGGTTCAGTGACACTGGTACAAGTATATTATTAGATATCCTCACTTAATGTAATGAAGTACTGAAGGGAGGAGATACAGCAGTGGCTCTTCTCTTAAAGTTCGCTGGTACAGGTACAGGGCAGCTAACTTTACAGGAGAGAATGAGAAGAGGCCGAGTACATTGTCGGCTACGCTGTCTCCCCGTGTACCGAAACTCTGAGTATACTGTACAGTGTGATATATCCACACCGCCCGCCCCAAATGGGTGCTCAGGCCTGTGGGAGCCACTTTCATTAAAGGGGACGGAACACTTGAGAGACACAGTACGGTCCTTTAGAATTAACATTTACGAGTTGTGTTGTCTCGTCCACACCAGAACCACATATAACAGCTGCTTCCCTCAGGTGCAACACACTCCCTCAGGTGCAACACACTCCCTCAGGTGCAACACACTCCCTCAGGTGCAACACACTCCCTCAGGTGCAACACACTCCCTCAGGTGTAACGCTCCCTCAGGTGTAACGCTCCCTCAGGTGCAACACACTCCCTCAGGTGTAACGCTCCCTCAGGTGTCACGCCCCCAGGTGCAACACACTCAGGTGTAACGCTCCCTCAGTTGTAACGCTCTTTCAGGTGTAACGCTCCCTCAGGTGTAACACTCCAGGTGTAACGCTCCCTCAGGTGTAACGCCTCAGATGTAACGCTCCCTCAGGTGTAACGCTCCCTCAGGTGTAACACAGGTGTAACGCCTCAGTTGTAACGCTCTTTCAGGTGTAACGCTCCCTCAGGTGTAACACTCCCTCAGGTGTAACGCTCCCTCAGGTGTAACGCCCCCAGGTGTAACGCTCCCTCAGGTGTAACACTCCCTCAGGTGTAACGCTCCCTCAGGTGTAACGCTCCCTCAGGTGTAACGCTCCCTCAGGTGTAACAGGTGCAGGTCCTCAGCTGTAACTCCCTCAGGTGCCTCCCTCAGGTGTAACGCTCCCTCAGGTGTAACGCTCTCAGGTGTAACGCTCCTCAGGTGCACACACCCTCAGGTGCACACCTCACACTCCCTCAGGTAACACAGGTCCTCAGGTACACACACTCCAGGTGTAACACCTCAGGTGCAACACACCTCAGGTACAACACACCCCTCAGGTACAACACACTCCCTCAGGTGCAACCTCCCTCAGGTGCAACACTCCCTCAGGTGCAACACACTCCCTCAGGTGCAACACTCCCTCAGGTGCAACACACTCCCTCAGGTGCAACACTCCTCAGGTGCAACACAGGTAACACACTCCCTCAGGTGCAACACACTCACTCAGGTACAACACACACACACAGGTGCAACACTCTCAGGTGCACACACCTCAGGTGCAACACACTCCCTCAGGTGCAACACTCCCTCAGGTGCAACACACTCCCTCAGGTGCAACACTCCCTCAGGTGCAACACACTCCCTCAGGTGCAACACACCTCAGGTGCAACACCCTCAGGTGCAACACTCCCTCAGGTGTAACACACTCCCTCAGGTGCAACACACCTCAGGTACACACACTCCCTCAGGTACAACACTCCCTCAGGTGCAACACACTCCCTCAGGTACAACACACTCCCTCAGGTGCAACACTCCCTCAGGTGCAACACACTCCCTCAGGTACAACACACTCCCTCAGGTGCAACACTCCCTCAGGTGCAACACACTCCCTCAGGTACAACACCCACGTCAAGGTCTCATTTACTATGGATCATGTCCTCCCTGTTTACCATCTAACCTTTTCCCTCATCTACTGTACTTACGTTACACAACCTGCT